CTTCTCATTCTGCTGCTCAAGCCCAGCGCCCTCAGTGTAATTGCCTTGGGTGAATGAGAGAGCCAGGTTTATTCAGCTGCTTTTTTTGGAGGTGAACAGGCCAGGTTTTAAATGCAGCTGTTTTGTCTGTGCTGCTGTGTGGGCAACAGGAGCAGAGATCCTCCACAGGATCACTCAGGAGATCACACATCCTCAGGAGCAGAGATCCTCCACAGGATCACTCAGGAGATCACACATCCTCAGGAGCAATGTGCTTCCTGCAGGATCACTCAGGAGATCACACATCCTCAGGAGCAGAGATCCTCCACAGGATCACTCAGGAGATCACGGATCCTCAGGAACAATGTCCTTCCTGCAGGATCACTCAGGAGATCACACATCCTCAGGAACAATGTGGTTCCTGCAGGATCACTCAGGAGATCAGAGATCCTCAGGAGCAATGTGGTTCCTCCACAGGATCACTCAGGAGATCACAGATCCTCAGGAGCAATGTGCTTCCTCCACAGGATCACTCAGGAGATCAGAGATCCTCAGGAGCAATGTGCTTCCTCCACAGGATCACTCAGGAGATCACACATCCTCAGGAGCAATGTGCTTCCTGCACTCTGGGTCTGCCTTGCTTTGATTTCTTGTTTTGCAAAGGCATGACCTGGTGATGTTTGTGTTCCAGCTGTGGCTCTACAGATGTAGAACCACATGAATTTACACAGGACATTTGTCTCATCACCTCTGTAAAAGCTTCTTCCTCTGCAGAATACCCAGGAGCTCACTGCTAACGGTGATTGGGCACATTTCTGACACAGAAATCTGTTCTCTCCGTTTATGCTCTTGCTGTGGGGTATTCAGAGCCTCTGCTGGGCAGGGAGGTGGAGGCTGTGTGGAGTTATCAGCACTAATTATTGAAATCAGTAATGATGGCAGAGTACAGCAGGTTCTTCAAAGCACGAGTGTCATTATTTGGGGCCAGAGGTCCCCTTCAACACAGTCCCAGCCACCACACACCTTTCTCTCCTGTGTGTTGAGGGCTCAGGGTGAATTTTATGTACCTTATTTTCCACCTGAAAAAAATAAGACAGTTCCATATCTTCCAGCATCTCGGTATTCCTGGAGCTGCTGATGGTGTGTGCTGGTAATTATCCTATATGGCTACAAAGCAAGGGTTGCAGTGCCCTAGCACCTTCCTCCACATTTTGTACCTAGTGCCAGCAATTTGGAAACAAAGCCTGGAGAATGCAGGAGGTCTGAGAGCAGCCAGAGGCTTCCTTTGAATGAATAATCACAGTTGGCCCAATTATTTATAGCTTGGCGCTGGCTGGCTGAGATGGCAAACACATTAACAGCAAACAGAAGGAGCTAAATTGGCTAAAGGTTCCTGAACAGGGAGGACTTTTCTGTGAGAGATGTGAGAAAGGTTCCAAGAATAAGAAATGTGCCCTTTTCCAGCCTGGGGATTGCTCTGAGTGGGGCTGCTTGTAATTAATCTTTTGTGTGGTGAGTTATATATTTCCCTGCTGTCAATGTGCTTCAGCTGGCCTGCTGTAAATTACAGAGATGCAGAGAAAATTAATCACATTGGCCTAATGAGCCCAGCAGAACAAGCCCCTGATGGTATTCCTGGAGCTCCCTGTCCTCCGTGGTGCGAACAAAGAGGTTCCTCTGATGATTCCTGGTGACATGGACTGGGACTCCTGCAATTCAGTAACAAAACATTGCTGTCCAGGCTTCTGGGACAACAGGAGAGGAAATGCTGAACCTTTTTCAGGGCCTGAAAAATTAGAGCACAGTCTCATTATGCTAATGAGAGGCAGAATGCCCTGTGCACATCTGGGTGTGGCAGCAGCTCACTGCTCTGCTGTAGCTTCTGCTCAGGCTGCAAGTGAAATCCAGCTCAGGTCACAATTCCTGCTTCCACCTGCTCTGGGGACTGAGCTAACAGTGAAAGGTAAAGTGTACAAGTGGTTTTTACTTGGCTTTGTTAGTCTCTCTTGCAGCCTCGATGCTGTTGTTCTTTTCACTTGTCTCACCTCTGGTTTTCACCTGAGTCAGGAGGAGATGAGTGTTCAGTATAATCTGTGAGCCTGTTCAATATAATCTGTCTTTTCCTTCCTTCTAAGCTGTTTTCAAAAAGCACAGTAAAAATAGCCCAAAAGGATTTTTGGAGATTTTCCCTTTTGCTCAGTGTTAGTTCCCATGTTTTAGAAACTGGAGAGATGGCCCTGGGATCAAATGAATGTGCTTTGGAGTTTGACTGTCTGTCAAACCTACATTCCTGTCCAAGTCAAGATCTGGGACCCCTGGGATCAAATGAATTTGCTTTGGTGCTGGTGTCAGTGAGGAACTCCTCAGAAATAGGAAGCAGGTGCTCCTGGCACTTCCTGCCTGCCAAAAGTCAAACAACTTCATTGCAAAATGAATATCCTGCCAACTAGATCATTAGCATTTCAGTCTCTCTTTTAGAGGACAGATGTATGACCTGATCCTGATTTCCAGTGTGTGACAGAGTCCCTGAAGGAGCCCGAGGTTCCATCAGCAGCTCTGTAGTGTGGGGTGTGTTACACAGCACCTCACAGAGCTTCCCCAGACATCCCAAGGGCTCAGAACAAAGGTGGGCTTCTTTTCACTGGGGGAACCTTCACCTTTGGATCCTTGGAATGAAAATGCCTTTCTTTGTGCCTTGTGTTTTGTTGTTGACTCCGGCAATTCACGGGAAGCGGGAGCTGGCAGGCTGAGCTGTGACTCCCCAGAGCCTTCCTCCCGGAGGATTTTAAACTGGAGAGCAAAATAACCTTCTGCTGTGTGTTGGCAGTGCTCCTGCTTGAGATCCATTCCTGATTCTGTGCTCTGTTCACTGGCAGGTCATGAAAGCCCTTCTGGAAGTCGCTGTGTGATTTCAGAGTTTATCCGGCCCCTTCAGATATCTGGAGACAAACCAGAACAACTGTCTGTCAAACCCACATTGCTGTCCAAGTCAAGATCTGGGACCCCAAGATGCAGATTTGATTCAGACGTGAGTCTTTTTGAATTTTTTTACAGAAAAGTGATTTAGGGCTGAGCCTTCTCTGCCCCAGCAGGCTGTGCAGGTTGATCCACCTGCTCTGGAAAAACCAAGAGAGGAATGTTCTCATTTTCTGAGGCAGCTCAGGAGCACCACCAGTGGGATATTCTCAAAGAAGCTGCAGTGATGTCCCAGTTACACAGGGTGGGAGTCAGGTGTGTGGAGCTGGAGCTCCTCTGAAGGTGTCAGCGCTCAGTGATGCACTCAGAGCACTCAGTGCCTCTGGAGGGGGCAGAGCAGCGTTTCTGCAGTGGGGCAGGGCTCTGGCAGGCAGCACAGCAGTGTTCCAGCTCCCAAAAGCTGGGGCAGAAGGAGCAGGAGTTCCCTGCTGTGCCCCAGGGGTGCTGGGACAGGAAAATGCTTCCTTTTGCAGGACCAGTTCCTGCCAGGCTTTCCTGGTGTGTGAATCTCCCCTGCAGCAGGGCACACACCACCTCTCACAGCCTCCCCAGCTCCTCAGAAAGCATTCTGAGCCTGGAAAATGGAAGTGAAATTGCAGGGTGTTGTCACTAAAGTCATTCAACTCTACATTTTGTATTCAGTCATACTTTTGAAGGGTTCTGTTCCTCCTTTCTCAGGAAGCTTTTCTGCTTTTCAGTGGAATTCCACTAGAAACCCAATGGGAAGCTCAGAAAAGCTTTTCAAAGGGGCCATAACAAGTCGCTTTTTAATATTTAGGACAAATGTTAAATATGAAAACTGCACAGAACAAATTTTGGAGACTCTGTAGAAGGGCATTATTTTCTATTAAATGCCCTGGTTGCTATGGGCAGATAGCCATGAGAAAATGATCTTCAGATTTTACCCCTCATTTCACAAAATCCCTTTCCTAATCTTTACAGGAGTAAATAAATTGCCACTGTGTGCATACTTTCTGTCTATGTAATATTCATTGATACTGAAAATGGGAAAGCTGATGGAATCAGAATGTTTCTAAATGGATCACAAGCCTGAGGGTACTCAACAAAATATTGGATTCTTGTATAGTGGGAATTCCATGGGCATATCTGAGGATTATCCACAGGAAATATTTGTGTATATTTGTGTAGCAGCATTACTGAAAAGTGGAAACATTCACTGCTTTTTGGAGAGGCCACAGAAAAAGCAGCTTAGCAAGGAGACTTAGGGAAGCAGAACTAACAGCAAGGAACAGAAGAAGCACACGTCAAGTTTAATTCCCCTTTTCTATTATTTTTGAGTTATCTCTCAGTGAGAATGTCAAGCCCTCTTTTGCAGAACTGTACATTTTGTGCCTTCTAGAGTGTAATTATGTGATACACTCTTACATTATGCAAACTCACAGAAATTAAGCTCCATTCCTTTCTAGAGATACCCAGACCCAAGGGAGGGTGTATGAATAAAATCTAAAAAATGGAACATAATGCTGGGAAGCCTGGAATAAATAAACAAACAAATAAATAGTTACTCTGCAAATGATGCAGTTGCAAGTGCCCTGGTTGTTCCTATTAAAAAGCCTTCTAGAACAAGCATTCCTGTTGTGTGCTCGATGAGGTAGCAGGGGATAATCCTGGCAGATTTTCCTGGGTGTCCCAGTGCTGCACAGGGAATTCCTGGGAGCTGGAGCAGTGTGGGCTGGGCTGAGCCACCCCTCAGGAAAAGGGACTTCACTCAGAATTTTCCTGCTGTGCTTTGGGCAGGGACCAGTTTAGACCTGGAAGCTGCAGTTCAGTGTTCACTCTGTCTGAGTTGTAAAATTTTGCTCTGTTTTTGAACAAGTTCTTTTATTTGATCCCACTGTTACTCCAGTACTTCTACCTTAATTAAAGTTCTCTCAAGCTCAGGCAGAAAGTTGGTCATTTTTTCTGAAATGGCTCACAGCAAACTGTACAATAAGTGAAGTTCAGCCCTCACTTTAAAACCTCTAGCTCAAAGCATAGCTGAAATTACTGTTTTACCTGTGAGGGACCTCGTGCAGAGCTAAAATAGGCAGAGTCTGTGTTGATTCAACACCACAATTAAATCTCTGGCTTTTGTGGACCGGATTTGTAATGGAATAAACATGTGGCTTCACAGGATTGAATTAAATGTGATGTTAAATTCAGAAGAAAATATGTTATTTCCTTCAGTGAGTGGAAAGGGTGGCATCAACAGATGCTGATGCTTCTTCTTTTTTTATAATCACATTCTCTTTTTTTCTCCCCCCTCACAGATGGATAATGATCAGAATTCCAATACCTCAAAGCAGAGATATTCTGGGAAAGTCCACCTTTGCATTGCCCGGTACAGGTAAAGCTCCCCTCTCCTCACAGGTGTCACACACAGCTGTAAAATTCAACATCAGCTGTGGCTGTACTGCACCTGTGTGCTGAGTGATGATGGGATGGATGGTTATGGTTGTGGTTGTGGTTGATTATGGTTGTGGTTATGGTGATGGTTATGATTGATTATGGTGATGGTTATGATTATGATTGGTTATGGTTATGATTATGGTTATGATTGGTGATGGTTATGATTATGATGATGGTTGTGATTGATTATGGTGATGGTTATGGTTATTATTGATATGGTGATGGTTATGATTGATTATGCTTATGATTATGGTTATGTTATGATTGATTATGGTTATGATTATGGTGATGGTTATGATTGGTTATGGTTATGATTGATACTTCTTGTGGTTATGATTATGGTTATGATTGATTATGGTTATGATTACAGTTGTGGCTATGATTGATTATGGTTATGGTTATGATTTATTATGATTATAGTTATGATTGATTATGGTTATGATTATGGTGATGGTTATGATTGATTATGGTTATGGTTATCATTGATTATGGTGATGGTTATGATTGATTATGGTTATGATTACGGTTATGGCTATGATTGATTATGGTTATGGTTATGATTTATTATGATTATGGTTATAATTGATTATGGTTATGATTGTGGTGATGGCTATGATTGATTATGGTTATGATTTATTATGGTTATGATTATGGTGATGGCTATGATTGATTATGGTGATGGTTATGATTGATTATGATTATGGTGATGGTTATGATTGGTTATGGTTATGGTTATGGTTATGATTGGTTATGGTTATGGTTATGGTTGTGATGGGGTGGATGTTGTTGTGTGCTGTTTGCACTTGGAGCTGTCAGTGGGAGCTGAGCACCACCTGCCTCTCCACCCCTGCATTCCTGCCCTTCAGGTCTAAATCAGATTTAATGGCACCTCCTGCTCTGGAGAGCAGCTCTCAGTCTCTTCTTATCAATTACTTTTCAAGCAAGAAAGGATTTTGAGTCCATCACTGCTTTGCACATTAAGATTTCAGGCACGAACTACAGCCATGGTGAAAATTTCAGTGACTAGCAGTTTATTTCAGGATGGATACGGATTTAAGTAATTAATAAATACTTTTTGTCTCTCAGTAGCTTCCCTTAGATGTAGCTCACTGTTTTTTGTCTTCTTTTACCTTGCCTGTGCAGAAGTTTAATGAACTTGTGTAAAAGGATCATAAAATTGAATACAGTGACTGGAAAAGACCCCCACCACTGAGTTTGCTTTAATTCTCCAAAAAATAAAGAGAATTTTGGCCAGTGTTTTTTCAAGAGCCCTAAGTGGGAAGTGTCTGAGTAAACCCTGCAGGAAAGGACACGGGTTTAGGGTAGAGGGGACCTCAGAGGCACAACCTGGCCCAGGCCCAGTCAGAAAGTGCCTCAGAAGGGAAGCAAAGACAGCCTGGGGAGATTGTCCTGTGTGGAGCTGTGGTCCTGAGCTCTGCCTGTCCCCCCACAGCTACAACCCCTTTGATGGACCAAATGAGAACCCAGAGGCGGAGCTCCCTCTCACGGCAGGAAAATACCTTTATGTCTACGGGGACATGGACGAGGATGGCTTCTATGAAGGTATTTTTTATTGAATCCATGAATTCATGCTAATTCATGCAGATTGGAATCGGCTCATCTGTCAAACACGCTCCAAGTTCCTTCCTTCGTCTGCTCCTAAATCGGTTGCTAAAATTAGCTTTATCATCGTGGTGTTAATTAAAAGAGTTTCTGCATCAGCAAAGCCGCTCCTTGCAGGCAGAGCTAATTATAAGATATTTTATGGTGTCAGCTTTTCCTACTGGCAAGATTTAAGTTGACAAAAAAGCTTAGTGGCAGTTCTGGTATTTCCCTTAATGAGCCTTTGTTCCCAAACTGGGGGTGCTCATGTGTTTCACTCATCCCTTGCCCCCTGTCCTGCCCCCTCTCAGGGCACTGCCGTGCAGGAGCTCTCCTCCATCAGGGGTTTCATGGCATTGCTCTTTCTCACCAGGAGAACTTCTGGATGGACAAAGAGGACTGGTCCCTTCGAACTTTGTGGATTTTGTTCAGGACAACGAGAGCCGGTTGTCAAGCACACTGAGCAGCGAGCAGGATCAGAACTTCATCAACCGCTCGGGCCCTCCCCTGGAAGGAGATCTCTTGGAGATCAGTCCCCCGACTCACATCGACTCCGGCGTGGTCAGCAACGGCGCGGGGACGCTGGACGTGAACATTGATGAGATTGGAGAAGACATTGTGCCTTATCCTAGAAAAATCACCCTTATCAAACAACTAGCCAAAAGTGTTATTGTGGGCTGGGAGCCACCGGTGGTGCCGCCCGGCTGGGGAACCGTCAGCAGCTACAACGTGCTGGTGGACAAGGAGATCAGGATGAACGTAGCCCTGGGCAGCAGGACGAAAGCCCTGATAGAAAAGCTCAACATCTCCACCTGCACATACCGGATATCCATCCAGAGCATCACCAACAAGGGCAACTCCGACGAGCTGCAGTGCACCTTGGTGGTGGGCAAGGACGTCATCGTAGCCCCCTCCAACCTCAGAGTGGACAACATCACCCAGATTTCTGCTGAGCTGTCCTGGCTCCCTACAAACAGTAATTACAGTCATGTCATCTTCCTGAACGAGGAGGAGTTTGACATTGTCAAGGCTGCTAGCTACAAGTACCATTTTTTTAATTTGAAGCCCAATATGGCCTACAAGGTGAAGGTCATGGCAAAGCCCCACCAGATGCCCTGGCAGCTTCCCCTGGAACAGCGAGAAAAAAAGGAAGCCTTTGTGGAATTTTCTACATTGCCAGCAGGTTGGGTATTTTCCTTCATACCCCAAAACTCTTCAGTTGAATTTCTCTGAAAATGCTAGATAAAATGCTTTAACCTTCACAGCGTTTAGGGGATGTAAGTGCATTTTGCTTGTGGAGCTGTAATTGACTCCATTGCACAATTTGAATTTGTAAAGTCAACAGATTTGTTGTGTTTTGGAAAGTCTGAGGTTTTTTCCCACCTGGCTTTTACATGAAGGGTGTTGGTAAGTGTTGTCACTCATTTGCCATTATTTAAGAACCTTGAAGTGGTGTTGAAAACTAGAGCAGAAATGATGGAGTGAATTTGAAGGATAATCTCATGATTTTGGGGGTGTATGGCAGCAACTGAAAAAAATCTGAGTATCTTTCCTTTCAGATTTACCTACCCAAGGTCTCTGATCATGGCCAAGCAGGAGACCCTTGGGGGTAAACACTAAATATTCAGTGTTTCAGGTCCCTGGGTGCCTCTGAAGGGACACTCAGGTGCAAGTGGCCCCTGGCAGGTGAAACATCAGCAGATGTGGGCTGGGGTTTGCTCCCTCCCTTTGGTTCCAACAGAGGGGCAGGAACTCCTGCTGCTCTCCTCCTCAGCCTGCCTGACTCTGATGAGAGGAGACAAGGAGGGCAGAGGGGAGGGGAGTGAGGCTTTGACTGGTGCCAGTCTGTTTCCAGTGAAGATGTCCTGACACGTTTCTCTTTAGCCTGGAATCGCTGCAGGGTGGCAGTGCTGGTGTGGGATGTGCTGGGAGGAGGGCACCTCACCCCTGGGATGTGTCCTGGGGGGGCTGGGAGGCACTGCCTGGGTGCTGGCTTCAACTCATTTCAACTTTGCTGTTTAGGAAAGGCCTTTTGAGTGAGGGTTTTTCCAGGCTAAGCACTTCCCATGCTGTATCTCCCTCTAGCTGTGGAGTCTGCTGAGCAGTGCAGAGCTGTTCTCTGCTGAAGAGATCAAGCCACAGCTTTTAGAACCAGAATCTTCCCCAGTGCTTCATTTCACTTCTGCAGAACCCAGTCAGCTCTTCACTGTTGTGTAGAGAAAACAAAAAAGCAGCTGTGGCAGTGATCAGAGGCTGATTCCTGATTGCAGAGTCACTGGAACAAAGGAAAAGGATGAATTTGGAGTCAGTGATGGGAGTTACCATCATAGTGCCATGCAATTGAACTCATCTTCATTCATCAATGGAATGCAATTGCTTAAACAAAAATAGAAGTGTTTCTCTCTTGGGCACTCAGATCTGAAAATAGAGATAAGTACAGGATCAGGACCAATGGGGCTGCTGTGGTTTTTGGGGCTAATTCATGTGAAAAAAAGGAGCAAAGTGTAGCAGAATTCCAAAACAAACATTTATGTTGGTGACCAAGACCATTTAAAACCATCAGGAATAATTTCCCATGTAATGTTGGGAGGAAATAGAAGCCATGCCGAGCCTCAGGCACTGCAGTTTGTTAAACCTGGCTCTGCCACAGCCTGTGAAGGTCGAGACAGACACCCTGGGGATTGTTTGGTTTTGGGGGAATGAAGGGAAGGTGGCTCCTCCTGCAGGAGCAGATTAATGGCATTGGCACTGGCAGGAGGCTGGGTCAGATCAGATGCATTCTAGCTTGTAAGCTGAGCAGCCTTGCTGAGCTGGGAATGCTGGCTGTCCATAAAGCAGGAGGATCAGTAAAGCTGAAATTCAACCCCAAACCGATATCTCTCTTGGCCAAGAATAATATTAGGCCAATTTGCATACTCTTCACTTGCAAGATAAAAATACTTTATATATTCAGGGATGGTATAAGCAAAAACTTCCTGTTGTGCCTGTGCTGAGCTGAACATGACCAAGGTTTTATTTCCATGTCTGCTGGAGGCTGGAATTCAGCAGAGCAGTGAAATGCACTGGCTGTTTGCTGGTGCCTGTGCGGTGTTTGCAGATTACTGTGCACACAGTAAAGTGTTTGTAGCTCCTGGGCAGATGGACAGGAATGGGCTGTGTTTGGTTCCCTGGGAGAAGGGTTTCCCAGCAGCCAAGCCTGTGTTCTGTCCTGCAGAGACAGCTGCAGCTGGGCCCTGACACCTTTTAGCAGCAGGCTCTGCTCAGGGTTTGATGGTTAAATCTACACAACAGGATGCTTGAAAAATTCATGAACTAATAAACTCTGTGATATTTTTACTTTGGCTTTCTGGCCAAGGAAGAGCTATTTATAGAGGGGTAATGCCTTTTAATTAAGGAGGTGTTTGGTTGTGGTTACACTGACATACTGTCAGTGCCTTCAGAGGTTTGGGTGTGTTTTTTGATTCACTGCAGAGAAGGGACTGTGAGAGCAGCTGTCCTTCAATCAGCTGCTGGAAAATGCTGAAGTTTCAGCTTGCAGCCCACTCTGCACCTGAGTTCACTGCACTTCTGACCTGAGGCTCGAGAGTGACCATTCCCATCTCTCTCAGGTCCTCCAGCTCCACCTCAAGACGTGTCTGTCCGGGCAGGGTCCACACCAGGGACCATCCAGGTGTCCTGGAAGCCGCCGGTGCTGTCGGCGACGGGGACGTCACACGGTGCCAGCGTCACGGGCTACGGTGTCTACGCCAAAGGCCAGCGGGTGAGTCCCTCCTGCTGCCTCAGGAATTACAGCTGGCAGGGAATGGTGGCACAGCCCTGCAGGGGCTGCCAGTGGAGCCTGTGCTGTGCTTTGGGCACAGCTCACTGCCTCTCCAGCAGCCCTTTGGCCACTGGGGTTGGGAGGATGAGGTTGGGGTCGGTGATGGGAGTCACCCCCATGGTGCCAGCTGGGGCAGGGGCTCAGCCCAGCAGCTCCCTCTGTGCGGGCTCTGGAGGCTGTTCCTGAGCAGGGCTGAGGGGAGGGCGGCAGGGCGTGGTGCTCACAGGTGTGTGTGCCCTCAGGTGGCAGAGGTGATGTTCCCAGCAGCCGAGAGCGCGCCGCTGGAGCTGCGCAGCCTGCGCAGCCTGGACGCCAGGGAAGTGACGGTCCGGACGCTCTCTGCGCAGGGAGACTCGGTGGACTCTTGTGTTGCTGCCATTCCATCTGACCTCCTGGTGCCTCCAACCCCTCACCCCAGAACTGCTCCCAAATCTAAGCCATTAGCAAGTGCCGGAGCCCCAGAAACCAAAGAAGAACACTTAGGCCCACATTTAAAAAGGGATGAGTCGTGGGAGCAGACTCGTTCGGTGTCCCCTGTCCACGGACACATGCTGGAGCCACCCAACTTCCACGGCCCACTCCAGGGGAGGAGATCTCCATCCCCCAACAGAATCCTGCCCCAGCCTCAAGGCACTCCAGTCCCCAACACCGTCGCAAAAGCCATGGCAAGAGAAGCTGCACAAAGAGTGGCAGAGAGCAACAGGGTAAAGGCAAACTTCTTCCTGAGGCTTTTGGGGGTGGTTTGTTCATTGTGGCACTTGCCAGCCAAGAATTTTCATCGTGTGCCCTGGGGAGATCATCCCTAAGCTCTGAAGATGCATGGCTTGGGATGCAGCGTGCCTGTAAAGCCCTTCTGTGCCCACTGCCATGGGTCCACAGGGAATTTGATGTATTTGTCCTTCCCAGTGCTGCATTTCCACACTTGTTTGCAGCTGCTTTTCATTCCAGCTCCTCCTGGAGCTGCCAGCAGTGTCACTGCCCAGGCACCCCCCTGTGTGGGCACCTCTGTGTCCCTGGGGCAGGGACAGTGATCCTCACAGCTCTCTGCTGTTATTCCCTGGTAGATGGAGAGGAGAGCATTTATTTATTTGCCATTTGTGTCCCTGGGGGCAGGGACAGTGATCCTCACAGCTGTCTGCTGTTTTGCCCTGCTAGATGGAGAGGAGGAGCGTTTTCAGCGAGCGGAGCAGCGCGGCCCCGTTCTCCGATGAGGAGGAGGATGGTTATGACTCCCCCAAGGTCAAGCGAAGGGGAGCCTCAGTTGATGATTTCCTGAAAGGGTCAGAACTTGGCAAGCAGGTGAGTGGCCTGGTTTTGTTGCTGCATCAGGTGTTCAGGAAGGGTTTTGGGAGGGCCAGCTCTGCCCAGTCCCCTCTGAGAGCTGTGGCTGTGTTGGTGACCCGAGGCTGAGCCCTGGGCAGGGGAGCTCCTGTTCCTGGAGCTGAGTGCTTGGCACTGGGATCTCCTGAGCATCTTCCCTTCCAGCAGCCCCAGGCACTGCAAACTGAAAAAGAGATGATGACAATATAGAAAATGTGACTGGACTGTCCTGTTTGGCTCCTGGGCGTTTTCTGTGTGGGTGTTGCTGCTGCATGGGAGAACCTGCTGTGGGAAAGGGACCGTGGGGAGGATTCCTGGGTGCCACAAAGGCACCACCTGGGACCTCAGGGCAGGAAACAAATGTGCTGTGGAATGGCTCCAAGGAATGGAAGCTTTTATTCTGATCCCACTGAAAACAAATATGAAATAATTTATTACATTACTTTCAGGAGAGGTAGAACTTCTAGAAAAGAGATGTTTTCTTATGTCTTGGCATAGTTTAAAAAACCTTAGTCAGAGACCTGACCCCCTGTGTTGAGGGTCCACAGTGGTGGTGATTTGCTGCGAAAATTGGATGTGATCATTTTTAAATTCTAATGTGATGTAACAAACAGCTGCGAAGAACAGATGATATGTCAATTATCCTAAGGCTTTTACAATTTGGTCAGCAATTCCATTGGTGCATGAAGGACTTCTAATGAGGGGAATTTGACCAAGTCTAAACCTAGGTTTGGTGCTGTGAGTGGGGATATCCTTTCCTGTGTCACCTGGGATCGAGCTGGGATTTGTTGAGTCAGGATCCCAGAGGGTGAGAAGAGAGTTAGCAGAGGATGTGTGAGCAGAGCAGAGCCCAGGCCGGTGCTGTGTCCCAGGGTGGCTCACGGCAGTCCCGGGCAGCGCTGGGGTTATCGGGATCAGCGTTCGCGGCACTGAGCTCTGTCCTCGCCCGCCAGGCTCACTACTGCCACGGGGATGAGTACCAGACGGAGAGCAGCCGCGGCTCCGACCTGTCCGACATCCTGGAGGAGGATGAGGAGGAGCTCTACTCCGAGATGCAGCTGGAGGAGGGCGGCCGGCGGCGCCTCAGCCTCACCTCGCACGGCGCGCTCAAGGTGAGCGCCCAGGGACCCCTCGGGGCTGCTCCAGAACCTTCCCTCAGTCCAGAGGGCCCTGGACTCGCTCTGTGGGACACAGCCAGACCCCAGTGTTTATTTATTACCCTGGTGTTCGTTATCTGATAGATAAACTTCAGCTGACTGACCGTTTTCCTACGTGTGATTGTTGCAGTTGCAATTTCTGTTCTGCATCTGGGGCCCTTCCCCGTGTCTCCGTGAAGATAGACTGCATGTGCTAGCCCGAAAATGAGTTGTTTCTGAGCAAGGAGATTTGTAAAAACTTACAAAACAACTTCTGTTTTTCCTGTCTGAGTGATTTGTCCACGTATCCAGTGCTGGTCCCATCCCTTCCACAGGCTTAAAGCATTCCTGTAGGAAAGGGAGCTGTTTCAGCTTTGTTTGGTCAATGCTTTATCAAAACTCCTTGTGCTCTGAATATCAGGGAACCGGCAGAGAGAGTAGGAAATACATTCCAGAAATATTGCTTTAATACAGGAATGTTCATCGTGAAACACAACTTCAGTGTAGCAGCTAAAGCATATGCAGAGCACACAACTACTCCCAATACTCAATATATATTTGCCATATTCCATTTGTTCATGTAAATTTTATTTGCTTCTTCATGTGTGTAGTAATTACACAAACTGTTTTTCTAGAAAGCACAAAGCCACAGGCTACCTGTTTTTCAGTAGATTGTTATTGAACTAAAATCAGCACTATTTTCTCATGCATATAAGAATTCTGAGCATTCTTATGACTGCTTTCATGTGCTGTAAATTCAGTCCTTTTATTCTGTCTGCAGTGAGACAGATACTTTTTCAAAAGAAGAAATGATCAGTGTTTCTATTTCAACATAAAGGTTGAAACCAAAATCCTTCTGCATCTTCTTCTGTTCCCTTCCCCTGGCAAAAAGAATAATCCCCAGACTGTTCTTGTTCTTTATGCATCAGAAGGTGCATTTACTTCTTGGATTTAAATCAGTATTGGCAGAGTTGATACTGAGAAAGTTCCAGAACCTTAACTGATGTAGGAAATCATTTTTGACCTGCTGAGGTTTGCAGGCTTCTCTTGATGTAGTGTCCATCAAAACTGTGATAATTTGTGCTTACTGATCTTTTGTCCATTTCTGTAGCACTCCATCTCAAGTTCCACGGGTGTTACACACATTTTAAAAACAAAGGAAAACAGGTGAAACAGTCTGAAGTAACTGAGGAAGTGTGGAAGGGCACAGCCAGGTTCAGGGTGCTCAGAGGGAGGTTGCTGAAATCTCTGAGAGGATCTGTTGATATTTATGGGAGCTGTTGAGCCCAGAGATTCCCTGATCTGGGCATTAAGCACAAGGGGAGATGATCTCTGGGATGCAGAATCAATAAATCCTGGCACTCAGAGGCAGCACCTCCTGCCCTGTGCTCCCTTCCCTCCTCCCAGAGCCCAGCCAGGACAGTCAGGATCCTTTGTCAGATTCTGTGTTTTGTGGAAATGGAATAGGAAGGTTGCAGAATGTATCTGGCATGTCCAGAATGCTTCTTTTACCCAGGCTGGGATAGCTCTTACCTGCTTCTGGCATAAACAGAGACTTTTACCTCTGCTCATAGGCTGATTTTCAAGCACTGGTTCTGTGAAGCAGGGACAAGATCATGATGGGAGATTTGATGGCAGTGCAGACCCGGTGACAGCTGAGAGCAGCCTGCATCCAGGGGGCTCTCCCTGGGAGCCAAGCTTTGAAAATGGTTCAGGTGTTCTAGGGTTTTAGAAGGGAAAGCAGAACTCTTTAATGATGGCTGTGGAACAGCTCTCCTCTGACAGGACACTGAAGATTTTTACTGCTTGTGCAGGAAGCTTTAAGAGATTGAAAGCAAGAAAGCTTGCTGGGGCAGAGCTGTCATTCCCAGACAGGGTTCTGCTCACACAGAAAATCAGATGGCAGTTTGGCACGGGGCAAGGAAGGAGTTTTTCTGCCATTCTCATTCCCCATGCTGGAACACGTGTGTGGCTTTCATCCCTCCCTTGCCAATGCATGAGTTCAGTCGTGTTGAGAGCATCACTCAGTTGTTTGTACTGACCTCTCACGCTGTATCCGGCACCCAGCAACTTCTTAATCATGTCTTTATTTTTCACAGATCCTCATTCAAAGCATGACATCCTTTTCACTGTATAAGCTGCATGTCTTACGTTTGCCATTGCTCTAAAACTAATTCTGTCTTTATTTTTCTTTTCTCCCTTTTCCCTCCCATTTTATTTTTGTCACACACTCTTTGTTCCCTGTCTGGTTTTTGACATTACATAATCTTAAGGAGTACGATAAGACCACTGAAGCCACTTTTTGGGAGCAGCCTGACTTTGCCCAGCAGACACACCACAGTAAAAGGCTTTTCAGTATTCCAGAAGTGGCTGAAGAGGACGGTGAATACTCTGAACTGCTGTACAGGCAGGGTTTAGGTATGCCCTATAGAAAGAACCCCAGAGCAGCCAGAGAGCCCAGAGCACGCAGGCCCTGTCCCCAGGAGCAGCAGCACAGCCCCTGGCACCGCTCGGGGCCGGGGCTGGAGGAGCTGGTGCCGGACGAGCGCGGGTGCAAATTCAGACAGTCCCTGTCCCGGAGCCCGGACAGCGGGCTGGACTGCGGCAGCGAGGAAGAGGAGCCCAGGGGCAGCGCCAGACACACCTGGGGCAGGGAGGAAGAGGAGCCCAGGGGCAGTGCCAGACACACCTGGGGCAGGGAGGAAGAGGAGCCCAGGGGCAGCGCCAGACACACCTGGGGCAGGGAGGAAGAGGAGCCCTGGCACAGTTTCAGACCCCAGTGGGACAGGGATGAAGAGCAATTCCAGCACAGTGTGAGAGCCCAGTGGGGCAGGGATGAGGATGAGGGTGAGGAACAGCTCCAGCACAGAGCCCGGTGGGGCAGGGATGAAGAGCAACCCCAGCACAGGCTCAGAGCTCATTGGGGCAGGGATGAAGAGCAGTCCCAGCATGGTGTGAGAGCCCATTGGGGCAGGGATGAAGATGAGGATGAGGAGCAGCCCCAGCACAGAGCTCAGTGGGGCAGGGATGAGGATGAGGATGAAGATGAGGATGAGGATGAGGAGCAGCCCCAGCACAGAGCCCAGGGGGACGCAGAGCCCTGCCCCTGCCGGAGGGGCCCGCGGCCGCTGCTGGCCCGCAGGAGGACCCTGACCAGGCAGAGCAGCATCGAGGAGGATTTCGGGGAGCTGGGGCCGTCCCTCGGGGAGCCCAGGAGCGAGCAGAGCCAGCAGAGGAGGTCGGCAGCTCAGAAGGGCCACAGAACAGATCGTGTGGCTAACGAAGAAGTGCAGGGAGGCTGGAAGAGCGACTTTAAAGCAGCTGACTCTAGGGCAGCTGCTGTCCCTGCAAAGCCATCCCACAGAGATGCAGAAGACTCTCTGGTGTGTGAAGTATCTTCCTTCTAACATCTGCTTGCCGAATCAGTCTGTTTTCTTTATTCTCTTAATTTTTTGTTCTTTAATTTTTTTCTTTTTTCTTTTTTTTTTTCCCAATTTGATTTTTCAAGTCCATCCTTTGGGCCCATCTGCTACATTCCCCCTCCCCCCTTTTTTTTTCTTCCCAATTCATTTTTGTTTATTACTCTGCATTTTTGTTTATGGTCCTCTTTTGTGCCATGCTGAAATCAGATTAATTTGCTTTGCAATGATTTTCCCCCAGAACAAATTACAATAATGGCTGCTTTTATTAAAGGACAACTGAATCTAAATTTTAATTAAGGGTTAGCTGAATTATAATTTTTCCAAAAGATTGCTTTTCTTTATTTTGCTCATATGAATTAAAAAAAAAAACAAACCAAAAACCAAAAAACCACAAACCGCTGCATTTTTAACTGGAGAAATGTTTCATCAGTATTTTAATTTTTTTTTTTTTTAATTATTGTCAAGGAATTCATTTCATCGTGTTGTTTTTATTCATCTCATTCCCAGAATTTTCAGCTCATGCTCTTTATCATGGAACATCTCAAGACAAGGATCAAGATTCTCCCCCAGTGTGACAGTGACCCAGATTTGGGGAGTCACAGCTTCACCATTTTCATTTCTGCCTTTCCTCTGCGCTGTCACTGCTTCGCCGTCCCTTTCAGACCATCTCTTCTTGCCTTTGAAGTTGCAGACTGCATCTCTGCAGGAGAATGCAGGCACGGAGCTGCTTCCAAAGGGAGCCCAGGGCGCTTCCGCCTCCTCCGAGGATGCTCTGCGCGACTTTCCCCGTTTGCATTTCTGGCCATGCATGTCCAGAGCAGCCTCCAGGTGTGAGGGACACAGGGATCAGAGAGCAGAGCCCCTTCCTTACCCTGCAGCGGCCTGGAGCACAAAAACTCCTCTCTGGGACATTCCTGGAGCACAAAAACTCCTCTCTGGGACATTCCTGGAGCACAAACTCCACCCTGGCACTTTCCAGGGCAGAGCAGAGATCAGCTGCTGCTCTTCCAGCCTCTGGCTCAGGCTGCAGGAGCCCAGCAGAGCTGGGATGAGCCCAGCAGAGCTGCAGGAGCCCAGCAGAGCTGCAGGCCAGGCTGCACTGGTGTCAGTGGCCACACGAGAGGCTCTGGAGAGCTCTTGGCCTCGCGGCTGGCGGCGTTGGGGCGAGCGGAGCATCCGCGTCCCTTCTGCACCTGCTGCCACCCGGCTGGGCCGTGCTGGGAGCCTCAGAGGCACCAGGACAGCCCTGGCTGCCCTGCACAGGGGGATCCCCAGAGCTGAGTGTGCCCTCCTGGGCAGGACGCTCAAACCTTAGCAGCAACAACAAAGGCAAAAGAATATTTCAAAAATTATTCTTTTCTTTTCTTTTTGTTCTGATGTGTGACTGCTGGTTTCAAAACTCTGCCATAAATCAGGAAGCCATTTTTTTTCTTTTGCAGGTTTGCCAGGCAGCAGTACTCACTTTTCAGCTAACCTTTCAGTTAAAAACTAAGTTTAGTTGCCTTTAGAGCTTACGCTTCCAAATGTGATTGACCTGATCCGTGTCCAGCCGCGCCACCGCCGCGGTGCCGTGCACAGAACTGACAAATCCTGTTCTTTCTGTTGCTGTTTTTTAGCTTTTAGGTAACCCAGCCTCGGCAGGACGGCAGGACAGGGTGGAGCACGCAGGGCGGAGGTCCCACGGCAGCGCGGTGCCACCGAGGTCTCGGCCCGTGTTGGTCCCATCCATTGGTGAGTTGGGCAGATTCCTGCTCCTCACAGCCTGGGCTTGCCAAGGAAACCCTTCCAGAGGAGCAGCAGCCCCAGTGTGGGAGCAGTGAGGCTTCCCCTGGCAGTGCTGGGGGCTTGTTCCAGCTCAAACGCACACGGTGGGCTCTCAGCTCAGAGGAAATCTGAGAAAGCTTGCTCTGTGGCCAGTGAGATCAGTGTGGCCATGCAGGCACCCACCCAGCCCTGCGTCCTGCCGTCATCAGCCATCCCTCTGTATTCACTTGCCCTTCTCCTGACTGCTTTTTTCATTAGTTTATGGCAAACTCTTGCAAACCTGGCAGAAATGGCTTTCCTAGGTCAGCTGTGCAAACGTCAGTCTGCTGCAGGAAATCAGCCCAGCTGCCAGTGCAGGTTTTATAAGCTTTTTTTAAAGTTAGAAACTTGCTAATCAAAACCCAAAACAACCCACCAAGCTTTATAGGACGTGCAGTGAGGTTTGGGTTTTTCACTGAAAGACCAAACTCCTTTCAGATTTAACTGGGATAGCTGGATGGTGAGGCCAGCTTGTATTACTGAATTTGCTTTCCTGAATTTGCTTTCACAGATGGCTACGGTGGCCATGACCATCTTTCTCCAGATATTTATGAGGAGTCTGAAACAGATCCTGGCACAGAAGATCTTTCCACTCGAATATTTGTTGCACTTTTTGACTACGATCCACTGACCATGTCCCCAAACCCCGATGCTGCAGAGGAGGAGCTGCCATTTAAAGAAGGACAGATCATTAAGGTGAGACCTGAAAACAAAGGAGACAAATGACAATTTTACAAACATTTCTCCTCTGGGAGAAAGCTGCCTGTGTGATCAGAATCCAGGGGATTTTCCCTTCAGAGGTTCAGGCTGTAAATCTCACTGGACCTGGTAATTAACAGCTAGTGCTAATGGCTTAAAAATGATCACAAAATGGGCAAAAACCTCTAAACTGCTGTAGATAGTTAGGGACAGTCTTAATTATTAGTTTGAGCCCAAAATTGTGACTCCAAAGCTCCCTAAGTCCATTGCCACAAAGCCTTCAGGAACAGCAGCTTCAGAGAGGATCTTTGGGCAAGGGAAGTCCCTCCTTCCCTCCCCTTTTTGAGCAATATTTGCATTCTTTGAATGTCAGGTTTACGGGGACAAAGATGCTGATGGATTTTACCGTGGAGAAACCTGTGCAAGAGTTGGCCTTATCCCCTGTAATATGGTCTCTGAGATACAAACAGATGATGAAGAGATGATGGATCAGCTTCTCAAACAAGGTTTCCTTCCTTTGAACACTCCAATTGAGAAAATCGGTGAGAGAACATGCAGACATTTCACTTCAGACTCTTGGGTCTCTAAACTTGGCTCCATCCACTTTGCCTCTCGTTTTTATGCAGCTGCATCTCCATTTTGCAGTCATTTGCTGCCCCAGGGGATGCATTCTGTGTCAGTGTCTGACTTCATGCTAATATTTAGTCTTGGTGATACCATTTGCTGCGAATGGGGACTTGTAGCTTCTTACTTTCTTTTCTGACAAAAAAAATAAAGTGGGTTTTGTCTCCTGAAATATTTGTGGGCTCAGGACACGATCCCTGAGCTGTGGATTCTGCTGTGCACAGTGAGCTGAGGATTCTGTGCCTTAACAGAGCCAGAGCACTGTTAATTCTCATTTAATTACATCTTAATTCTCATTTATGACCTTTGTGTGGCTGCACATCCTCAGTCTGTGTGGGTGGGTGTGCTCAGCCGAGGCTGTTCCCCTGGGCTGGAGGGGTGGGCAGGATACTGCTGCCCCTCTGGGAGAGGGTGAGGAGTGGTTGAGCAGCCCAGCAGGGTTTGATATGGTTTGATATGATCGATTGATATGGTTTGATATGATATATTGATGTGGTGTGATATATTGATGTGGTGTGATGTGATATGATATATTGATATGGTGTGATATGGTATATTGATGTGGTGTGATATGTGATATATTGATGTGGTTTGATATGGTTTGATATGATCTATTGATATGGTTTAATATGGTTTGATATGATATATTGGTGTGGTGTGATATGGTTTGATATGATATATTATGTGGTGTGATATATATTGGTGTGGTGTGATACGGTTTGATATGGTTTGATATGATCTATTGATATGGTTTGATATGATATATTGATGTGATGTGATATGATATATTGGTGTGATGTGATATGATATATTGATGTGGTGTGATATGTGATATATTGATGTGGTGTGATATGGTTTGATATGGTTTGATATGATATATTGATGTGGTTTGATATGGTTTGATATGATATATCATGTGGTGTGATATGGTTTGATATGGTTTGATATGATATATTGATATGGTTTGATATGATATATCATGTGGTGTGATATGGTTTGATATGATATATCATGTGGTGTGATATGGTTTGATATGGTTGGATATGATATATTGATGTGGTTTGATATAGTTTGATATGATATATCATGTGGTGTGATATGGTTTGATATGATATATCATGTGGTGTGATATGGTTTGATATGATATATTGATATGGTTTGATATGATATATCATGTGGTGTGATATGGTTTGATATGGTTTGATATGATATATTGATATGGTTTGATATGATATATCATGTGGTGTGATATGGTTTGATATGGTTTGATATGATATATTGATATGGTTTGATATGATATATCATGTGGTGTGATATATCTTTTTCCCTGGCAGAGCGGGGCCGGCGCAGGCAGCAGCAGCTCAGCACCAGGAGGATGGTGGCTCTCTACGACTACGACCCCAGGGAGAGCTCCCCGAACGTGGATGTGGAGGTAGGGCCAGAGCTGAGCAGGGAACGGGCTCAGGGCCCATGGGCTGCCTCAGTATTCCTCCAAAACATGCTCTGGTTCCTTCCTTGGAGAGCTGTAGAACAGTCTGGAATTGTTTGAAGGAGAAAGTGAATTTTGAAATATCTGGGACTTGGTGCTTTCAGACACAGCCAGGGTTGTTTTCTGTTCCTTATCGAACCAAATCTTTTTCTAAATTATGGTGTTCCAAAGTAGTTTGGCCAACAAATCAAGTAAATTGTGCTGATGCATTGCAAAGATTTTGTTTGTCCTCTCTCCCATGACCACAGGAAATTAAAAGTAATTTAAAGCCCCTGCCCTAATTACATTTAAGCCACAGGCAATTAAAAAGAGCCCAGTGCACTGTTTGCTGCTCAGAGGGGAGCTGCCCATTGTGAAGGTTTTATTGAAGAGGCTGCAGGGCAGGTCCAGTGCAGGAACGTTGGGCTTGGGCTGGGTGATGTCCACAGGTCCCTCCTGGGCTGGTGCTGAGCAGAGCAGCTCTCTGGAACTCACTCACAGCTCTCTGGAACTCACACAGCTCTGGAACTCACAGAGCTCTGGAACTCACAGAGCTCTGGAACTCACAGAGCTCTGGAACTCACACAGCTCTGGAACTCACAGAGCTCTGGAACTCACACAGCTCTGGAACTCACACAGCTCTGGAACTCACACGAGCTCTGGAACTCACAGCTCTGGAACTCACACAGCTCTGGAACTCACAGAGCTCTGGAACTCACTCAGAGCTCTCTGGAACTCACAGCTCTGGAACTCACAGAGCTCTCGGAACTCACTCACAGAGCTCTCTGGAACTCACTCAGAGCTCTCTGGAACTCACACAGCTCTGGAACTCACTCAGAGCTCTCTGGAACTCACTCAGAGCTCTCTGGAGCTCACTCAGAGCTCTCTGGAACTCACTCAGAGCTCTCTGGAACTCACTCAGAGCTCTCTGGAACTCACACAGCTCTGGAACTCACTCAGAGCTCTCTGGAACTCACTCACAGCTCTCTGGAACTCACTCAGAGCTCTCTGGAGCTCACTCAGAGCAGGGCCTGAGCCGTGTCCCACCTCAGCTGTTCCCTCTGCACCAGTTTTCATTCAGGGGCTCTTTGAAGCTGTGAAGTTCAACCTTCCAAGCTTGTCCAGGTTGTGCAATGTCCCAGCTGCTGGTCCCAGCACACACTGGGAGAGGTGCCAGGTTTAGAAAGCTGAGGAAAAAGCCCCAAGGGAAAAAAAAAAAAGAGGTTTGGGTCTCAAAGATCAATTTGGTTTCAGCAGAGTCTTAACATGAAGGAGTAGGGAGAAATGTTCCTGGATTTCCTGTTGATAAAGGCAAGGCTGATGTTTGCCTGAGAGCTGTCCCTGCTCCTTCCCTGCAGGCCGAGCTGACGTTCTGCACCGGGGACATCATCACCGTCTTCGGTGAGATCGATGAAGATGGATTTTATTATGTAAGTTGTGTCTGCTGGGTCACTCCAAACTGCTCCCAGCCCCTCCAGCACCAGGTACCAGCCTGGGAGGGGATGTGGAAATGGGGGAGCTCTCAGCATGCCCAGGGACCTTGGATGGGAATTTCCTCTTCCTCACCAGCTTTGAAACAGGCAAAAAATATTTCCCTGCCTGCCTGGGAGCCTGCAGGTGATGAAATGAAAGCATTCCCCTTCCTTCCCTCTGCTGCCAGGGTGAACTCAATGGACAAAAGGGGCTGGTTCCTTCCAACTTCCTTGAAGAAGTGCCTGATGATGTTGAGGTGTTTCTCTCCGACGCACCCTCGCGCTACGTCCACGACACACCCACGCGATCCAAGGCAAAAAGGGTAAGCAACCCACTGAGAAACGCTTAAATTTTCATTTCCCATTTCATTCTGTCTCATGGATAATTTAGACATTATTTTTTAACATTACTTTTAAATTCATTTGCCCATTTAAAGTTATGTTTCAAATAGATAAAATAAAACATGAGGAAAAATGACTGTAGCCTTGGCTCGTTACATTTGTAAATGGAGAAACTGAACGGACTGATTGCAGTCGTTACAGTACCGGCCATTATAATCTGAATTAAAGCAGCTCTTTCCTGGCGGTGGTTCTTGCCCAAAGCTTCTAAATTGCTCTTACTAAAAAAGTTCTTGTGCACAAAAGACTGGTACCAGTGTTCCTCTAAATACAAACTGTAACTGCAGCTGATGGACTGACAGTGGTCGTCTCCTAATCCCCACAACTTCCTGCTCCAACTGGCGATGATTAATTGCTCAGAGACTTCTCTTTTATGAAAGAATTAATTATGTTTAGAGTATCTCATTTTTGGTTTTGTTTCATCACTGCAATACTTTTATATATTATATATTTTATATATATTTTTATTTCTTTGCTCATCTGCTTGGAAACAGAAGAAGAGTGTTCATTTCACACCTTAATAAGGCAATGTAGCCTTCACGTAAGTGAGCAACTGAAGATACCAATAGAGATTTCAATTAAAGCTACCTGGCTATCTAATGCAAGTCTTGAAACCTAATTGTGGGGGAAAAGAAAAGAAATATGTCTCCAAACCCCTTGGCCACAGCAGCCCGGGCTGAATGCCTTTACTGTACCTGGTCAAGCCAGCTCCTTCCTTGGGAGACAAATCCTTTAAAACAGGAGCCCTCCGAGAGCCGCCGGAGCTCCCTTGGTGCAGGTCAGCGTTTGGAACATATTTCTTCCCGAGCTCAATGTTTATGTTTACATAGAGAGGAGAGTTTGATGTCTAACTACCCTACAAACAAAGCTGCATATTGCATTGCTAGCCAAGCTGGGATGTAAAAATTCCAAGCTGCCGTGTCAAGAGAAAAGCACAACAGCTTTGCAGAAAGAGCGGTGACGCTGGCACGGACCGTAGTGCACCAGGGGATAGTTGGGTCTGAAACTCACCACACTCAAACACAGCTACTTAAATTGTCTGCCTTAAAATGTGTTTTCCACAATCGATTATACCCCAGTTTGCCTAAGACCAACTATTCAACACTTCTGAAAAAAAAAAATCCCTTCCCGTGGTCCAATTTACTCGGATTTTTCCTGGTACATTTGCAATATTAGCAACTGTTTGGTTTACCAATGCAATAAAAGTCTCGACCTGAAACATGCAGCTCACTGAATGAATGCATTAGACTCGATATCTGGTATCTTCAGGTGTACGTTGGGGTGCTTTACCAAGTTGTTTTGTTTTTTGGTTTGTTTTTTTTTCATTAGAATTAGACCTTGATTTAAAATCAAAGTAGGCTTGAAGCCCCTTTGCTTAACTCGCCGTTGCACAAGAAGCCAGTAAATTGCTGATGTTTAAACTGCAAGCTAGCAGGCCTCCCTCCAGCATGGATTCTACTGTGAAAATATCAAAAATATCATCTGAATTGATAGCAACCATTCTGCCAGCTGGGCACTGTAGTTAGGATAGGCTGAGTATACGTAATTTTAGCATTTTCATCCAAGTGCTTTTGATGACTGAAAAAAAAAACAAAGCTGTTCAAAATATTTAGGAATGCTGTCATCTAACAACCTCATAGCTGCAGCAAACACATCGAGCACTCAGGGCCTTTAAGCTTTCTTTGATTGCAATTAAGGTTCATTTTAGCTTTTTCTTTTTCTTTTTTTTTTTTTTTTTTTTAAGCCAGTGTGCCATCTTCTCTAATCTGTACATAAAGTTTGCTAGCCAATTTTAAAGAAAAGGCTTTTAAAGGACATAAAAAAGTAAGTGATCATGTAGCATTTTAAGTCATTTCTTCTGGAAAGAGTTTGGCTTCTATAGATTGCTAACCTGTAATAATTAACATGTTTATTTTTCTTAAATCTATAGCTAAAATATCCCTCTCCATTTTAGTACTATCAGAGTGCTGAAATGAAAAACCAAAGCCAGTTTTGTGGCTTTGGTGGCCAGAACTCTGGCAAAGCACATGTATCCAACTTTTCCTTTAAAAAGGTATAACCAAAACTGGGCTTTATTGGTGGGCTTTCTATTTCTATAATTCTTTTTCTCTAAATTGATGCATTTTCCATAAGCCCAGGCAGTATTTTAAGCCAGAGAGAAGAAAGAAACCAGCCCTTTTGTTTAAGTGGGTAATGGGACAAGTGATGTTACCAAGTTTCTTGCTGCTGATGGCTTTGAAGCTTTCAAAGATTGAATAAATGATAACAATGTACCTACTAGGTTCCTCCTGAGAATACAGGTACACCCCGGAGAGCACCATCCCCCACAGCTCATCTCCATTCCGGGTCACCTCCGTCACCGGTGATGGGCTCTGGTAGTCCCGGGAGAGGCAGGGATATGGCCTCGAAAAAGAAAAAGGGGCTGCTTTCCAAAGGCAAGAAACTGCTGAAAAAGCTTGGTGCAGTGAAATGAGTCCTGTGCTCCTGGACAACTTGTAAAGCTTCCAGTCTGTGTACTTCTTTTTTTTTTTTTTTTTTTTTTTTTTTTTAAAGTCAAAACTAGGGCTTTCATGACTATGCAGTACTTTACCAGACCTCTGCATTTTTAACTCTGACATCAATAGAATCATGTGAATCGCTTAATCAAAACAGCAAGAAAAAAAAGGAAGTGTTGTTGGTAAAAACATTATTTAAAAAGTAAAAAAATAAAAAAATAAATAGATATTGTGGGATTAAGGCCAGAAGAACATGGTTTTATTTGAAGTCAACACCTGCAACTCCATTGGAAAAATCTCAGCCTTTGTTCTCCTTTAACCATGAGTGGGGGGAGAAAACTCTCTTCACTGATTGCTAGCTCAGAGAGATCACCCCACTGTATCCAATCATTAGCATTAACAACAATGGTCTTGAAACTCCTAGTTGAATCAGCCTTGATGTTTTGCCTTATTAATGCACAATGATTTGTACTGTCTAATAAATATGCAGCGTATACTTTGTATGTACTGTGTATTCCGCTGTCTCCATCCTCCCTCCCTCCCTCCCTCCCTCCCTGCGGGATCCCAGAGCAGTCAGTGACCCCGATGAGCTCCTGGAGTGTGCAAGTGCAGTGCTGAACGCTACATTTGAGTTCTTGCTGCCCCAGCACAACCCAGACCCCTGTGTTGATTTGTCCTTCTCACTCTGCTGAACGGGGCAGTGTGAGGGACTCAGAACCTCACCTGGTTCCAAGCACCCGAGCTCCAGCTTTGGGCTCCTGGTTCTCTTCCAAGCCCCTGGGACAAAGCCAACTCCTCGCCCACCCCCTTTCTTTACTCCCCGTGTTCCCTGTGGGGTTCAGGCCGAGGTTGGAAGGCGCTTTCAGGGCGCTGCTGGCAGCTCCAGGCTGCAGCAGCTCCGGAGGGAGGGACAGACTGTCCCGGGCTCAGAGCACATGGGAATCAGGAGGAGCTCCCCCACACACCGATGGCAGTCATTGGCTGGTACTATTTTGTAATTCTTGTCCATTTGTAAATTGTTTTTACTGTTTATACATACTTTTCAGACTGCCTTTCTTTTTGTAATTTATGGAAGGTTTATAAATGAATGATCAAAGCTTCCCCATTGTGTCTTCAGATAACAATGTAAATTACTGTAAAATACTGTGTGCTAGAGTATAACATTTAATTAAAGAAAATAACTGGCCTACGTTTGTGGTAAAGTACTGTGTGGGTGTGTGCATGTGTACAATCATTGTGTATTATATTTTATATAAATAAATAATTTGGTATTTTGTAGAGTGCAGTATGTTTCATACATCCCCTGTGGCAGCTGCTGGCTTCTTGCATCAGCCTTTTTCCAGAACTGTCCGTGGCTGCTCAAGTTTACTGCAGAATAAAGAAAGGCTCCTCTCTCTATCTGCAGGACGGCAGGAGCTTCCCAGAGGTACAAAAGGGTTGCCAAGTTACTCCAGCAATTGTCCCATCTGTGCCCAAAGCCCTGTGGTGAAGTACAAAATACACAGAACAGGCTCAAAGGAGCAAGGATTACAGCAACAACTTTATTTAAATCTCACAAAGGAAAGCAACAAGGTTCACAACAAGGCAGTTAAGAAAACCAGCACTAATCTGAATTTCTCCACGTGCAGTAGTTTGCTACTGCAAAAATCTGAAATCCCCCTCCATCCCCACACCTGCTATTAGTTTCACAAACTGGGCTGCAGAACAGTGACCAATGAAAACCTCACACATGAACAAGGCAGGGCTGCTTCCCTCTGCCTGGAACTAGAGAACCAGAGAGCCCCAAAGCTGGCAGCAGTCCCTGGTGGAAATTGTATTTGCCATGTAAGAAGCCTGGTTATGCAGGAGCAGCCTGGCAGCGCAGCTCCTGCTGGGGGAAGCCTCTCCTGGCCCAGGGGGTGAGTGTGAGGCTGCCACAGGCCCAGGACAAGCCCTGGCAGCCCCAGCTGCTGCAGGGATCCATCGCAGCCCTCCCCTGCTGTGGAGCCTGGCACACACAGCATCCCCCTGCAGCTGCCCCAGCCTGACACAGCCCCCCGCACTCCCCTCTGCTCCAAGGGAGACTCAAGCCAGCACCAGAGTTTGTGGCTGGTTTGCAAATTCCTCACAATGACAACTGTTAAAAAACCCTTCCAGAGGTTCTGCATCACTGTACAGCCTTAAAGCCTCGCTAACCAAGAGTCTGGTCAGCTCCTTCTAAGGTATGAAACAGGTCGAGATAAACTTGGCCCTCATTTTAACAGCAAAGAAAAACAAGGAATCAACAATATTGAAGCATTTTGAAAATTAAAAGGGTAAAGTACTAGCTGGAAGAGTTTGAGTTCTGGTCTGCATAACTATCTCTCATGAAAGAAGTAATTCTGTGTAAGACTTCTCAAAATGCAAATAAGAACAACCAATAAACTTTAGGGAAGAATCACAGAGAAAACTTTAGTAAATAAGTATCAAAAATCACAAAAATTAGTGTAGTTATTCTAGCAAGCAGACACCTGTTCAAAATGCAAATCAGCCATCTCCAGCTTTTCCCTGGTACAATGAAAATAAAATAAATTTCCACAACTGCACGTATCCTGTGCACATCTCTTAGGAAAAAACAAAACTAAACCAAGAGCCCAGACAATTCTAGATTCCCTAGAGAGGATCTACGCTCTTGTGTTTGGCTTCAAAGGTAGTAGAGTCTTTCTGAAAGCGCCAGGTTTGGTTCTCTGTGGATACTCTGACCAACAAGGAAAGCCAGTTTGTGAGCGTACTGGCAAGGAGCAGGTACTCTGATAATACCCTGCAGAAAGGGGAAAAAAGAGAAAAAGGCAGTTATTTTCAACTAATTTAAATAAGCATGCAATCACTGTAATGAGGACCCCTGGACCTCCAAAGTCTGCATGCTTGTAGAATTTGTATTGCCTGCTGTTTATGCTGATTTGTGAAAATAACTTTACATACACCCAACACAACAGAAGAGATGCAAAAAACCCCCGAACTTGCCAACAGGAGAGTCCTCCTGACACCTCCCAGACAGGTTTACACTCAGTGCTGGGCCTTGCAGGGAGGTGGGGCACGGGCTCAGTCGTGTCTGGTGTTTCTGACTGCTCAGGTGCTAAAGCTAAGCACACCTCGGGCACCAGCTGAGCAAGAGGCCTCAAGGGAAATGCAGCAACACAGTTCCACCTCCACAGTAAGGAGCAGATACTTCTGCAGGTAAGAAATTATTTCAGTTTTGCTTCTGACACAGAATTTGGGAACAATTCTCACAACAAGTATTTGCTAGGGAGAATACAGATTGCTGCAATCTTCAGAGATCAGGTAGCTATAAACCATCCAGTCCTCCAACCACTCCAGGTGCCAAGGCATCCTTGCAGGCTCTTTGGAGCTGCAGGGCTGTTTCAAGGACACCTGCTGTCCCTGCTGCAGGCTGTCCCTGCTGCAGGCTGTCCCTGCTGCAGGCTGTCCCTGCTGCAGCCTGTCCCTGCTGCAGCCTGTCCCTGCTGCAGCCTGTCCCTGCCAGGGAGCACTCACCGACCAGTTGTAGTACATGTGGCACAGTTTGTAGGTCAGGCGCTGCACGTGGTCTGGTTTCAGCTGGCTGGTGTCGTAAATGACGTTGTAGTGAGTGGGTGCAACACAGCCGTTCTTCACGGTCTGGCTCACCACAAAGAAATCATACCTGCCAGAGAAAGGCAAACCCCACCAGTGAGCTACAGAAATGCCTCCTTGCCTTAGGAAAGTGCAAGTCCCCATGTATTTGTCTTGTTTTCCTCGAGTCACTTTATGCCTGTTGAGTAAACCCCAGAAGGGTGCTTAGGCTTTGGCCACCACAGCTTTCTCTCAAAGGCCAGGAGACCTGGAGGAACATGAATCATATTATATGGACCAGGTCTTGAGACCATAACAACCATTTGTTCTGTCCCATTTTCCTCCTGATGATCACCCTGCACATGTACTTAGCTTACACTGCTCATTTTCTCAGCCCCTGAGCCACGGAAGCGTGGGGAGCATTTTCACCCTTGATCCCACAGTCCATGTAGTACTGGATGGATTTCCTTTGTGACCTCTGCAGGAACTCACCACTCTGGCCTGGTCACCACCGTATCAACAACCGTCCCAGGGGGTGGGTTTTTGAGTCCTCCACCGATCTCTGCAAAGAACCTGGCACCCACTCGTTTCTTCACCACAATCACAGTGAGTTTTGGGCTAAAAGAAAGGAAAAGGGAAAAAAAACAACACTCTCCTGGAAACTGCACTAGGACTATTTCAGGAGCAAATCTGCTGGAGTTCCAGGGCATTAATTTCACATGTAAGTCTTTGCTGATTCAGGTTAAATAAGACATTGTTCACAACTTTAGATTTTTAGTTGAAATACAACACTCATATTATTTTCCACCAATCAAACTTGACTTTTACTTCACTGAGAAGCAGAAAATGAACCAAAAAGGGATCTTCCAAATAAAGACTGGATTTCTACTCCCTAGCCCATTGTTTCCTAAACAAAACACTGTGTCTTAACAGTATTTTTGGTAAAGCCATTAACAAAAGCTAAACATAAGAACTGAGCACTTCAATTGCTCTGCTTGCCTGCAGTGTAAGGAAGTTTTTTAACTTTTCAGAGGAGATGAAGTCACTGCAGTTGGTAATTTTCAAAGCAGAATGTTGAATCTTCCTATTATATTACAAGCCAAGTATCTGAAATTATGTAAATAATCATCAGAAGAGCAGTTATCTGAGCTCAGATGAAAATCAGTAAGGATGGAAAGACAACACAGTCCTCATCCAGAGCCTTGTTCTGCATCCCAGTATTTATTTCTCTGGCAGTGTAAAGAAGAGGGTTGGTAGAAACAGATTTACCTGTAGTCAGTACCAATACTCTTCAAGCAATCCAGAAATTGAGGCACTTCATAATTAACCAAAGTATTGAGTTGTCCATCTCCAACACCATCACGATACACAAAAATACGAGAGGGCAAACACTTATTCCACTTGGACCAGTTCCTTAGAGCAGCTTGAACAAAAAAAAAAGAGTAAAAGCCGTTAGTTGTAATCACAATTCGTTCCAAATCAAAAATGGACTTTTATTGCTAGAAAAGCAGCAGTAAGTTGGAAAACCAAGTAACATGAAATGATGGGTCAGCATCATGCTACACAAATAAGCCTGCAGGAGCTCTGCTTTGCCTGTGCACCCACACAAACAGGGCCCAAGGACACACCTGCTCCTCTCACAGAGGAGCTACCCTCCCTGAAATCATCCTCCCTTAAAGCATTCTTGAAAGTGCACTGCTAAGTTGTTTGAATTATTGCAAAGAAATGTGGGAATCAGTGAAAGATTTACACCAGATGCTGTTCATTTTCAGCAGTATTTATCACAGAATGTTTAATCTGCTGTTATCCAAGTGCACGTTGGTAGTGCTCCCCTCAGGGCAGCAGGGTAGGAGGGTTGTGAGGAAGCTGAATTGTCAGTGCTTAGATCTGGCTCCACAAGAGCGGAACTCCTTCCCTCTCCTGCCCTTACTTT